AGATTCAAGGTATGGCATACTACCTATAGGGTTAGGTTATTAATTTCCCTCGCCGACCATGAAAACAATTTAGGGTTCCTCTGTAAACATTCCATCATAGACATGTGCATGAGTTATAGTATATTAACCCTTATCTTGATTGTTTTCTCTAAATCCCCTCTTACGTAAATGGTAGGGGTGACAAAATGGTTGGATTGTTAATGGATGGATTAAAACAATCCATTAGTCCATTAACAATCCACTATTTTTTTTCAAAATTATCTGATCCAATCCATCCTTTAAGAATAAAATCCATCCATTAACATATTTTTAATGGATGGATATCCATCCATCCAACTTTTTTTTTATTTCGAAAAAATAAATGTATTTTTTTATTTTTAAAATCAATTTTATTTTATTTTTGAAAATTTGATTTTTTGTATTTAAAAAAAATTATTTTTTAATATATTCATGAAAAAAATTGAATTTTTTGTATTTTCAAGAAAAAAATTGATATTTTAATTATTGAAAAATATTGATTTTTTTTATAAGAAAAAAATTGGTTTTTTGTTTCGGAAAAAAATCGTTTTTTTACGAAAAAAATTGTTTTTTTCGAAAAAAAATCGATTTTTTTTTTGGAAAAATTTTGGTTTTTTTATTGGAAAAAAATCAATTATTTTCTCTTAAAAAATCTATTTTTAATTATTTAAAAAAAATAAATCTAACGAAAATAAAAATAATCCATTGGATTCTTAAAATATGTTGGATTGATCGAATCCATCCATGCATATAAATGGATGTATTTAATCCAATCTATTTACTTATTTTTTATGTGGTGGATGAATTGGATGTATTTTTTTATAGATGGATTGGATGGATTTTGCCTTGATGGATCCAATTGTCACCTCTAGTAAATGGTGATGAAATATCTGATGGGTTAGGGTGTCTCAACTTTCTTCCGGGCCTTTGGTGGTACAACCTCATCGTCTTTAAAATCTTCATATGGAAATGTTTCTTCTAGCAAAGAATCTAGTTCTACTGCATCCTCGTGTTCTTCACCTAGAGATTATGACACTTTGGTGCTTGTTTGCTTCTCGAAGAGGGCTAGGAAATAAGCTTGAGACAATGCCAAATCAGCCTCCAACACTACAATTTGATATTATTAATGGTGGGATTTGATTTTTAGGTGTGTAGTTAAAGAATCTGCTCCTAAGTTTTCTAGAAAAGTTCGTCTAAGGATAAAATTATATATGCAACTGCATCATACAATCAAGAATTATATCCTGATTATTCTTATTTTGTAATCGACCCCAAATGCCACTAGAAGTTCCATGTATCTTATAAGTTTCATGATTGTCCCATCAAAGCTCTTCATATTTCCACCATAATATGGTTGGGGGATGGAATGAATGTTTATCTTTGGATATGCTTCAGCGTACATAATATCACCGAACTTCCATGGTCAACCAATATACATTGAACATCACAACCAATCCTTAGAACCCTGATAATGATGGGTATTTGATGATTTGAGATGTCGTTGGCTAATTCTTCATTATATAAAGAATGTGGGCATGTCTCACAATATGAGAGTTTTTGAGGGAGCATGCTTCCTTGTGGGGGGATGCAACAACTCTCAGTATGTGCGCGAAAATAACTGATGACGAGACTTTCAAGGTGGTCACTTGTTTTGAATAGTAGATATTCACAGTCTATTGGAAAAATTCTACAATTTCCCTCCATTGTGGAAAGAAATTCCCATCAGTTCAACATTCATCAATTGGAGGGGATATTGGAGAATCATGTTTCTTGATCGGCCAAGTCGCTCCTAATGCAGGAAAAGATAATCTTATCTTGAATGAAAGAGAATGTTGTATTCAACGTTCTCACAAACAACGCCACTGATTTTGTGGAGACTAAAATATCCCAACAATGAGTTAGATAGTTGATAAGATGACAATGTCCAACAAGAATCAAGTCTTTCTCAACTTAACTGTGTGTCATGGGGTGGTATCTATAAAAAAACTCAGACACCCAAGCCAGTGAAAGATCAAGATAAAGTGTGAAATGTTTTTAGGTTTTCAAGAATATATATCTTAATTTTATGTCTATCATTACTTCTATATGGATCTCATTAGGATTTATACGGGTTCTTCCTCCTTAGGTTTAATCAAGATTGTTCACATTGTCGGAGGTTAATGTTTAATTTATTCTATTGTCCAACGACCCGACCTTCATTTTCTACTTGGATAAGATGTTTTTTAGGATATGTCTATGCCTACTCTCCAGGTCCTAAACCTTTACGCTCAATGACGGATTCATGGCATCATTAGTCTGGTGTCATCTTTATCAGAAATATTTTTGCATTTTGGACTCAAATTATCTTTCCTTCGTTAGGTCGAGATAAGTTTGACCAGTCGTGGCCCATGTCTATAGACTCTTAAGCTTATGGGCTAGTTTCCGTCCTCCCTCAATCCATGCTGAATCAATATTCAATTAAATGTCAATCTAAATTTTAAATTTTGTTCATAACAAGTTGATATTACGCTAAATTTGTCATAATTATTGTAATTTTATGGGGTGTTTGGTTCAAGGATTCAAAAGTGGTTCTTTGAAATAAGTTATTTGAAAATAAAAAATAAGGAAGATAAATTTTTGAATATTTAAAAAAAAATATATTTGCCATAATATTTGATATTTCTAGAAAATTAATGGTTATATTTTTTAATAAAAAAAATCATGTGAAATTTAATGGGAATGAATATTCTCATCTTTTTACATAGGAATAAAAATTTTAGAATTATAAAATTTTATTTTATTTGTTTATACCTTTAAACCTAGAAATATTTTTTTTTCAAACTTAAAAAAACATAGGTTTAATCATTTTTTAAACATTATTTCTGAAATTTTAATTCTTAAACATGATTCAAACATATGCATTGTGTATATTATTAAGAGAGGTCCTAATCATATATATTGTTAGGATTTGTTGAAAATATACATGTTGATATTATTTATGGTGGAGTATGATTGTCGAGGAAGATAATGAAAGCTTATATATTATTTTCAATCAAGGTGGAGATTGTTGGGGTTAGTTGAAAATATACATGTTGAAAAAGTTCTACATCGCTTAGCTTTGTAAATGAAAAGAGATTTCAAGACTATATATCAAATTAATACAAGTTTTTTGAAATTTCACATCGTTTAATTTTATAAAGAAAGATGGACTCCCAAGCTATTAAAGACTATATATCAAATACATTTTTTCCAATTAACACGTGTTCACTATTAAAGACGAAAGTCATCATAAAAAACAATAGTAATAAAGCTAGAAACGGTTTTCAGAAAATGTTTGAGTTGAATTGCATGAATCAATTCTAGAGTATAAGATAAGAGATATGAATGGGGTCAAGAGATAGAACCAGAGTGACATCCACCTAAATGGCTCTACTTATTATAGAACTCAGAAAGATGGTTGGCATGAGTGCTCCAGCACCTACCGCCGGCCAATGATACACGATCACTCATTTTTCTTTATCGCAAACAATATGAACATCATTACAAATTACAAAGGATCATAAATAGGAGGAGTTATGATATATGGTCCCCATATCTCGTGCCTTCTACTTTTTCATATATGCTCTTATGATATGTTGTCTTGTTGACACAGACAATTCCACTTTTGTGCATCTTCAATTCAAGAAAGTTCTTGTTCGGCCATCTTTGTAATAGGAAAGAGATATTTTATTTATTATTCTCTTACTAGTATGCTTTCATCGTTTCTAAAAAGTATACGCTCTTATACATCAAAAATCTTTTGAAATAAAGTATTACATGTCTTAGATGGAATTGTGTACAAAGTTTACCGTGGTTTAACTTCAGACTATCTCTAATGGTACTATACATCTTCGAGATTTTTTTTATAGACTATCTCTAATGGTACTATTTATCTTTAGGTTTATTTTATTTTTTTTAATTTATTGAGTCACATCATCTTGAAATAATTTCTTCAATTTTTATTCTAATTATAAGACTCGTCTCACGACTTTACTTTATATATTAATATTTTATTTATATTAAATAAATTTTAATTTAAAATAATAATTTAAATTATATAAACTAAAATTAATATAAAATAAATAAAATTCAAATTAAATTTAAAATTTAAAATTTAAATTTAAATTTAAATTAATCTCAAATACATAAAATATAATATAAACAATACAAATAAATAACATAACATAATTAGTCAAATTTAAATTTCGTCATCCTCGTGTCCAAAACGTTCTCAAATATACTCGACTAGATCTCCTTGAAATTGGCGATAAACTTGTTTTTCATGAAGACTTACTCTTCTTTGTACTCTTGTTGCAAGATTCAGATGAGGATCGTTACATATTTCAATTGTCGAGTTATTGTTATCTACATTATCATAAAAGTAATCAAAATCACCTACATATGTGTGTCGTTCATCTTCAACAATCATGGTGTGCAATATGATGCAAGCATATACGGTATGCTTGAGGGTTTCCAAGTGTCATGCACGCGCTGAACCACACATAATTGCAAATCGAGATTTAAGCACTCCAAATGCCCGCTCCACATCTTTTCTAGCCGATTCTTGCTATTGTGCAAATAGTTTTCTCTTTTTTCTCTATGCGGCATTGAAATGGTCTTGACAAATGTAGCCCACTCAGGATATATACCATCTGCTAAATAATACCTCATATTATATGGTGTTCTATTAATTGTATATTGCACAATAGGAGCATGCCCTTCCAAAACATCGTTAAACACATTGGATTGATTTAGTACATTAATGTCATTGTTTGAACCTACAATATCAAAAAATGCATGTCAAATCCATAAGTCTTGTTATGCCACTGCATCAAGCATTATGTGGGCTTTCCATGATCACCTCAACAAAATTGTCCTTTCCATGCAACAAGATAAAATTTTCATTTCCAGTGCATACAATCAATGGAACCCATCATACCTAGAAAGCCATGTGATTCTCCCATTTATAAAAGATGTTCAACATCAGTGTTGTTAAAATTTCTCAAATAATCGGTCGCGAATACAACATTCACGCCCCTAACAAAACTTTCTAAACACTCAACTGAAGTGCTTCCACCGATTCGAACATACTCATCTACAATGTTAGCGGGAAAGCCATATGCCAACAAACGAATAACAGATGTGCATTTCTGCAATGGTAAAAGACCCATTTTACCAGTTGGATTGGCCCTTCTTTGGAAATATGAATCATGATTTCCAATGGCATCTACAATTTAAAGAAAGACATGTCTATGTATTCTGAACCTTCTTCAAAGTTGAACATCTAGGTATACTGGATTTTCTGAGAAGTAGTCATTGAATAATCGATTGTGCCCTTCTTCACGACTTCGACATATCATTGTTCTTCTCTTTCGCCTAAAGAAACTTCCATATTGGCGTTCCTTCTCGAGCATTGACATTAGTAGTTCCTCATCTGTGTTGTCCATAAATCCGTCTTCAATCAAATCCCAAAAGAGTTTGTCGAGATCATTTGAGTTGTTTGAATCCATTAAAGTGAAAGAAGACTGAGATAAAAATGAAAGAAGAATGAGAAGAGTGATAGTATATATAATGGCTGGTTTGAATAACGACTAGTTTGACTAATAACTAGTTTGAATAACAACATAATATTTATTATAAATTAAAGTGGTACTAATGACCATTTCACACAGGTGTTGATACATAACAATTACTAGATAATAATTACTTTTCATCTTAACTAAGGATCCTTAACCAAAAGTTGTCGGCTTTTTTATCAACTCCTACAATAGGATCCTTTGAAACATTGTATCATTTTCTCTTGTGAATACCTCTCGAGGTTTTTTTTTAACGGAACGCCTTTGTTGTTTTTCAATTGTAATATTTCAATACCAATTTGAGTTGAAAATGGTGGAGCTTGACGTTCTAACATAAACCCAATCGGTATTTTGGGTTCATGACGAGAAAAATCCATCCTATAAGTATTTATTTGAGGTCTAAAATACATATCTGTGTTGTTTAGTGATGAAAAAAATAGGATAGAGTTTGTTGGCAGTGAGGAAAATAGGAAAGTTTGAGGATTAAGATTTTGATAATTTTGAGAGAAATAGGGAAACATAAATTATTGAAAATTATATTGATTAGGGTTCAATTAACTTTAACAACAATAATTTGAAGTAAGAAGATAAAAATTTAAATAAAATTATGATCAATTGAAGGCTAATAAGATAAAATTGTGAAAGATTTTTTTAAAATATTATGAGTAAAATGATAAAATTTTGAGAGAGAAATAATAGAAATTTTGAATATACAATTTTTCATTTCATCATATTTATAGGCAAATAAATTATTTAAGAAAAAAAAGAGAAAGTGTCGTTCAATAGCTGGCTATATGTACTTTTATTGTTTTTTATTCAATATTACTGTTGCATTGCATTGCAACGTTCACCAACCTGGCGAACTCCAACGAAACAATTTTTCAATGAAACTCGCGATAGTTGGCGAACTAGGCAAAGAAACACGCCGCTGAAGATACTCTTACATACATTACTCGTTTGATAGATGACTATTGAGTATGTTTGGTTTAGTTTTTGGAAGAGATAAAAAAAAAATTAGAGGTGTAAAATTGATTTTAAAATGAATACGAGGTGTTTGATTCTTCCAAAATAAAATTAATTATGTCTTCATAATTGATTATATTTAAAAATTAAATTTTTTAGTTTTTGAATTTAAATGTGATTTTTACATTAATATTTATTGTCCAACTTACTTCTACAAAAATTTATCTAAATATGAATCACTTTATCTTCGATTCATTATTATATAAAATTAATTTTAATTGATCTATTTATTTAAAATGAATTTTTTTTCACTGCAAAGCAAAACACTCGCTATATCTTGCCTTAACAAAACAATTAACTATAAATTAATTTGTTTATCTTTTTAAACCATCCGACTACAATAGTACAATCCATAAAATAATAAAATATTTATATTTACAATTTAAATTAATGTTTTAAAAATTGGATCGGACCGGCCAGTCGGACCGGTTGGACCGGCCTAGTAATCGGTCTGGTTTACTAGTTCGATCGTATGTGTCATCAAACCGGTAAAAACTGGGAAAAATCAGGTTAGACCGGAAAAAACCGGGTTTAGGGTTGGACTGATTCTAATACATTTTTTATTTTTTAATTAAAATTTAAATGCAAAAGTTATAAAAATTTAAAAAAAAATTGTTTAAAATTAGATTATGCTGCAATTATTTTGTAATTTTGTATTATTTTGTTATGTGTGATACATTTGTTTAAAATTTAAATTTAAATTATGAACTTATGAATTTATGATATAATATTTTCAAAAAATTTAAGTACTAGTTATATTTTTTTAGAAACTGAATCATCTGGTTCGACCGGTTTTATATCCATATAATGACAGGTCTATTCAACCGAGTTATCTGGTTTAATCCGGTTTAGTCATGCGGTTCGACCAGTGACCCAGTGGTTCAACCGATAAACCAGTGACGCAGTACCCTCACCGGTTCGATGACCGGTCCGACTTTTAAACACTGCTTTAAACCCTCAACGAATATAAACAATATTTTTGCTTAATATATGTGTTTTTTCTTTCACTAAAAAGTGTATAGATGTTTATTGGTGTTTTTAGTAAACAAATTATAAGTTTTAGTTCACATAAAGGATTAAACTCGAAGAAATTATAAGGATATTTTGTGCAAGATGTTTGAGAAATGTATTGGTGCTTAGAAATTCGATTTTTGAATATATAGAAACCGGATAATAGTGTAAAGAAATAAAATGCAAAATTGTTTAAAAGGAATAAAGTAAATTAAGAAAAACAACAAAATAATTGAATAAAAAAGTGTTGGAAATAAAAGTGGGACGCAAGTTCATATATTTCTCACGAATTCTTGATCTCTATGACTCGGATGTCTGAAAGGGCGATATAACGAAAATGTTAACCCTTGTCTAGATAGCAAATCTCCTTATATATTATGCACATCCATAATTTTCGACAACGGTTACTTTCCTAGGACTCGACATGTATCTTACTACACGGGCTTCTGCCTTCTATTGTGTTTCCATATGTCTTTAGTTCTTGAACTGTCTTAAACAGCTACCATTGTCGAAACTGTCTTCAAATTCTCTAATTGCATCTGACCCTTATACTCCCACCAGTTTTTACTTTGACAACTCAAATAGGAAAGGATTGGTCGAAATCAACTTCTCTTTTACCTCAATCAATTCTTCCAACCTTTTCTTTGAAACTTTGTAACCATAAGCAATTTGGGCTAAATCATTAGCTTCTTGGTTTTCGACTCGAGACATATGATTGATGTCGACTTCTTCAAATATTTTTAATAATGAATTGGCCTTCACAAAGTACATCAGTAGATTCTCTTTAATAAATTTTTACTTTTTTGTCAATTGTTTCACAACCAACTATAAATCATCTTTGATATCGAATCCTTTTGTTCCCAAGTCTAAAAGAATCGCAATGCCTGCAACTAAGGCTTCATACCTGTTTAATTTTAAATTTCAACTTTGTTGGATTTTCTTGAGGAGATATGATCATAATTCTAATACCAGATCCATTCATGTGTTTGGAACCGTCGAAGTATAATTTCCAAGATGTTATACCAACATAATCTTGTGTCACTTCGACTATTGCATGATCAATAATAAAATCAGCAACAACTTGGCCTTTTATAGCCTTTAAAGGTGAATATTATCATACCCTGGTTTTTATCCATACCATCCACCTATCATATCATTTACATCTCATCAAAATTAAAAGCATGGTATCCCCCTAACCCTCTCTCTCTTTGGGTTTGCCTTTGGGAGAGATCATCAGGAACCTTTGTATTTTCTTTGCTTGCTTGAGTGCTAACATCACTAACCTTATTCAAAATACAAAAATATGTGTTATTTTATCTTTCTTATTATACAAGGTAGGGACTTGCAATCAATGAATCAAACTTGGTTTCTAAATTAGGGTTTGGATTCTCCAAGTCAAGGTTTTGGTCAACAAATGGTTCACAAGAGCTTTCACTTCAAGGCATGACCTATAATATTAGGCCATATTCATGACAAGCTTCATTCAATATCATTTGGTCAAGAGAAGTTCAAGTTTGGGTGCATGACTTCAAAGTTGATTCAAGTATGGTTCATGCGTTTATTTCCATGCCATCTTCATCCATTTTTCAAAAAATCATCCAAGATTATTCAAAGAGGCAAGCAAGTTTCCTTCCAGTGGTGTTCAAATTTTAATTATTAGGACTTTTGATGCAACAAATGGCAAGAAATCTTAAGTTGGCACATTTTGGTTGGCCTAAAATCAAGAATGGCATGTCACTTGGTCCAAACACCATAACGTCTTCATTTTTCAACATTTTTGGAATCTTATTTAAGCCAAATGTCACATTTGAACTCCTCTACAGTTTTGCTTCAAGGGCCAAATATCAATTCAATCTCTAAGTCCATCAATTTTAGGATTCGTTCAGCCACGCATGTGTGCACAAAAGTAGGCCGAAGACCTGGTCAACCTAATATCAGGCCTAGAATTTCAGGTCAAGACCCCAACTTTGAATTAATGCCATTTCCAGTCCAAACATCCTTTTGAAGTGGTTTTTTTTAATTTGCTTCTTTGCCATGAGAAGATCATTTGGCAAAAATAAAATCTCAAAATGCACGAGTGGATTTTATTTGGCCTAAGCTCAAATATGGTGCCTTGAGCTCTGCTTCTTGATCAACTTCAGATCATGATTTTCATGCCAAATTCTAATTTGGGACCTCAAGCACATGTTCAACTTCTTTGTGAACCAAAAATGCGTGCAAACAAACACAAAACGACTTGTTTCAAGTGTCAATTCACACATTTCATACCTCATGCTCACACGCTTGCAAATCACCCAATTTCAAACCTAATTCACACGAATTCAAATATGTTTCACATGTGTGAGCTCAGAAACACTTTTCCTATAGAATAGAGAAAGCATTTAAACCTGATACCTCAAAAAAACCAATCAACCATTTATTTGACTCAAGCTCTTTTACCTTCGAATCTTCGCCCAGACCGACATCTTCTGAAGCTAATTGTATTGTTGTTGTTCCTTAAAGTTTCTTGAACTAAGCTCTTCATTTCCACCATTGTTAGACCTTCAAGCTTCAACTGAAAAGGTAGTTACACGTGACATTTCTGAGCAAACAAGTTACCAGTGTGTTCGTCTTGATTCACGAATAAGAAGCCCTCTTCTACCTTGAATTTATATTTTAATTTAATCATTTAATTTTACTTTGAAGAACTAGGGTTCTTCACGTGTTTGAGAAAATTATCTCTGCTCAAAGCAAATTAATTGCTCTGATGCAGAGAGACATGAGCGATGATGTGTTACACATTAGCATCCATGCTTGATTCAAGTTTAAAACACGAGTTTATGGATTTGAAAAATCAAGGTAAAGGTTGAAGATGAAGTTGCTCTTCGCGCGCTTTGGTGGGAAAATTTGAATTCTCATCC